CAAATACATTTTGAGGGAAACGTAATGCGACCAAATTCCTATTGCCATAAAGAGGAATTATTGTTAATTAATCTACCTGATTCTGAACGATGATCTTACAATACTCTCCTCACAGTGACTACAGCATTATTCAAAAGTCAGCAGTGACTTGAGACATAAGATTCATTATTAACATTAAACCAAAATTTTTCTAACTTTAACTAATGTGCTTTTGTTGCAGGAGTCTGAAGATGAACTCTGGTGAGACAGCTGCACTTTGCACGGCCGTCTCCACAAACACCATGTTACATTGATGTAGTGTTTCAGAAATCATTGTCTCTTAACATAAAGCTGGCAGGTATTACTTAGTCTAACTTTGGACCCAGATCACGTATTTATCCACAGTATATATGTTTATATGCACACCTTTCTACAATATGCTCTCATTATGTATACACATTATACAGTACAGATCAGCACTGAATCTGAAAACATTCACAGATATAAAAAATGTGTAAGCTTTGTGATACTTAATATAAACTACAGTGTCATACTGTATAGTACACTACGCTCCTAGTTTCAGAGCTAATTTAACTGGTCCCACTAAATATAGAACCACTACAGCAAGTGTTGGATTCTATTGTGTTTTCTAAAATATAAAAGGTCAGATAAAGGTATTAAAGATAAATGCTAAATATTGGTCTATTATAATGTAGCAGAGTGGAAAGTACCATTTTGAGCTACTTGTGTTTTATGAAGTACAGTACTTATAACTGACTTCAGTACAGGGCATGTGTGAACACAAGGGGGCAGTGCAGGCATGGAAAAGAAAAGGTGACAGCAGGCTGCAGGTTTCCATTCCAGAGCTATGTGGAGAACAGACACAGGATTTAACTGAGACTGAACTCACTCAGACACTGACGTTAAGTAAACTGACACACTTGTTTCCGGACACCTTAAAGCCTGAACGTAACCGGCAGGCAGAGAGTGTTCAGGCCTGCTGGTGTTGCTTTTGTCTGAATCATTGTGGCAAAGTGGAAAAGTGAATTTATAACATTTGTGTTAATTAAAGCCCCATTATGTCACTTTTCTACTTTAAAATGAAAGCTTCAGAATATGTCGATGCTACACTGACTGTAACTGGTTGGATAGTGCCTCCGTACTGCAATGTATAACTTTTAGTTTCGGGTCGGAGCACAAGTCACACACCATCATGTCACTAATTCTGGCTCCTCTTCCTCAACTCTGTCATTTACAGTTTCCTGATGGACAGAAAGCTTTACTTGTTGCTAAAGTAAGTTAACAGCTAAGTCTGTGCTGCCCGGATTCGGAGCTCGAAGCTCAAAGGGGAATGTTGGTATATTTATAATTTAGTAAATAAGCTTCAGACTTTGGAGGAAGTTTTCAGGCCCAGGGTGAGAGCCAGTGGGGAATGCTGACAGGCAGCCAGAGTGTGATGAAATGCCCTCTAGAGCAACCTGTCCTATGGAAACAAGGGTCCACTTTTCTATCATTTAGTGAACTGACACAGTGACATATTTAATGGATATTTCATATTATATTCAGTACATAAGAACATCATTCTGAACAGATTATTTCCTGTGTATATTACATCAGAGATGAGCAACCTGTCCGTCGGCATTGTGTATTTTTTATAATTTTAGCAATCATACATGTTTTTGTTTTTCATTGTTCTCTTAGCATTTTGGTTGTTTGAACCTTTCCAATGCAGGACGGCGCTGTTTATCAGGGAGGGAAGGCTCTGTCAGTATAGCTTGTGTTAAGGTCTTTATGTCTTAAATAATAATCTAAACTTAAAAAAATAACAAAAGTAATTGCTGAGATATAGACTGCTCTTCCAGTGCACAAACCCTAACTAATCCTGACTAAGCTAACGGCCTGCGGTGACATTAAAAAGGGGTCTGGTTGCCACTGGAGGACCAAAAACCTAGACCCATATCAAACTCCAGCATGGTGACATTTCTGTCATTCTTTAAGAAAAGCAGCGATTTGTCAGCTGATCTCTTTCCGTCTATCCAGTCATTCATTATCTATAACCACTGGCCAAACCCAGCTGACATCACAGGCCTGTTCCTGTGATATTAAAGTTTAATGTGTAAACCAGCTCAGACTTGCAGGGGAAAACCAGGCTACTGGTGCAATCAACAGACTAAATTCAACTCATTAGATGCTCTACGGGTGATTCAGAGTTTCCCCAGTGTGTGGCCTTTGATTATGAAAACTATCGGCCCGTCTTTCTATCATTATCTGTTTCTCTCTCTCTGCCTTCCTTTCCTTTACAGCTGTGTCTCTCCAGCACAAACAGCCTCTCCCGTTTGCAATCCAACGGCAGCGTTAACAGCAGTGATGGTGGAGGGGCTTTTACAGTGATATAGGCAGGAAGTGGAGCGCTGATTAAATATTAATGTGGAATCATGGGAGGTCCAATGAAATCCATTAGGAGGCTCAAACCAGGGGGAGGAGTAAGCGCTGACTCCCCTCCCGGAATGACCCTGATGAAAAGCAGTGGAAATATCTGCGGTGAATAGGTGGTAGAAACTTGAAGATTACATTCCCTAATTAAATACAAAGATGTGGCACTCTCTTCTCTCCCCTGTTATAAAAAGTAATGTGGCTTTTAAATGAAAGGAAAGTGTAAATGAATGTTTATTGCATTTTGAACCAAACATTCTGGTGCTGCTCCAATCACCGTCTAGTTTTTGGTGACTATGTTTAAATGCACAAAAAATTCTGGGTTTTGCCCTGATTGTAAAATTGACAATATTCTTACTCCTTTATAAAAGTGAATGTTCGACGACATCTCCAGCTCCAGTGAGCTGCGTTGGCTCTGAAGTTTTGTTTTTATTTTCAGACGTGGTGGATGTGTGTGAGCAGACTGAGGTGGAGAGAAAACAATACTGGGAGAATCACAAATTATGTTTCTGATTTCGATGATCAACATTGGAATCTCATTTCATATTTAGATTTAGAATTTAATTTGTGATATATCACTTGAGTATTTTATTAAAAAAAAGTCCAGTGTGTAACACTGACGAGGATCTATTGTCAGAAATAATATTAGGTATGTTTTCATTATGGTATAATGTCCTCCTCGATGGAGTCGATGTTGAACTGCTACAGTAGCCACATTCAGAACCCATTTTTATAATAAAGTATCACAAGTCCTCAGATGACCAGAATAGTCTATTCCTGAGATGCTCAGAGTTTAAATTGTGGGCTCCGGTAACTGATGCAGTACCAGCTGAGATCAAATGACATCAACCAGGACACAGAATCAATGGAAAGTGCAGGGTACAAGAAACCTCTCTATATATCCCAGATACAGATATCAATAGGCCCCTCAGGCATCTTGGCTTTCCCACATCTACATACATCAGCTTTTATCCCAACACAGCAGAAATCTACTCCAGTAGACTCGGGAGCAGTGGTTTCCTCTCTCCTCATTTAGCATGGCTGTAAGATGACCATGTTTATGTGCATGACACGTATGGTCCGCAGACATTACTGACTTTACTGTTTGTATGAATGACAGGTAGAAACCAGAGGTTCGTCTTATAAGTGCCTCAATTTAACATTTATTTTTCTTTCCATAATAATGGTGTATTGGTAGGATACATAATATATTCCCTACTTAGAGAGGAACCCCACCCACCAATTTTACACATCTGCATGACTTTCCAGATGTATCAAGATGTTGATCAGCTCCTCCTTTCTCTCCTCTGGCTATTAGCAGCTGGACAGCCACAAGACACAGTTTAGAGAGATTTTAGTAAAGAAATCAAATGAAAAGAAGAATTTCCCCATTGGGCATTGATAAAGATAATCTTCTGAAATAGAAACTTAAAGTGGAGAGACATGTCACCAGCGTTCCCTTGGTGAGATCTAACATTCAAACAGTAAAACTCACATTCCTGTATTGGAGAATCCATCTGGTTGTAAACAAGAAGACGTACATTCGTGAATTGGTCAGGAGACGTGAACACGGGCAGCGGGAGACTTTTTTTTTTCGTTTTGAGAATTCCTTTTAACTCGCTTTCCTGTGAAATGTTGCCGCAAGCAGAGAACCAACTTACTTGACAGCGTGGTGCACAAGCTGAACAATACAACAGATTTCTAACGAGCCCTGAAGAGGGATGGGTTTACTGTGCTGATGAATGCTCACTAAATATCACAGCTGTCTGCGGTGCAGAGCAGGGGAATGATGGAGGAGGAGGAGGAGAATAACAGCAACTTAGTGGGGTGTGTATGTGTGCATTGTTTTGTGTAGTGAGTGTACATTTGGCACTTTTTTTGACACATATGTAGAAGCTCTTACCGGCTCTCCAGCAGGGCCACGTGGCCCGTCCTTTCCTGTGTTCCCAGGGGGGCCTCTCGGACCGGGGGGACCTGGGGGACCAGGAGGACCAGCAGGTCCAGCCTGGCCTTGGTCACCCTGATGGTAAACAAAAAAAGAATAAGGTAAAGAAATACAAGAAAAAAAACATTTTTTAGCCATGGAAAAACAAAACATTATTTCTTAACAGATATTAGTCTTGGATTGCCTATAATCTATGTTTGTTTATATCATCACCTTCTACGCTGAACTTGTTAGCAAACAGTTGCCTGTTTACACATCCAGCATTCAACTGGAGCTATGTCCGTGTTCACCCAAATCCAATATTCACTCTCCTTGTATCTCTGTTTCAGGGGGAAATATCTGCTCTTTAGCTGAATTCTACCAGCAGTTTTGGGCTCGGCATCCAGTGGGTTTATAGGTTTTTTTATGAAAACCGCTGAAACAGGTGAATATAATACTACGAGGATGGTAAAAGCCAATCAAAATAGTAAAGTTACGGGCCAGACCAAACCAAGACAATGATAAATCATGTCCTTAGAAGAACAGCAGAGTTGGTTGATTCTGTGATATCGGTGAGATCGGTGATACGTGATATATGAAATATTGATTATAACTGCTTTAAAAATAGGCCTTTCTGCATAATTCAAAAGCCTAATTTTACTCTTCCACTATTAGTGTGTAGCTTGTTAGCTTAATTTGCTAGTTGGCCCCGCTCATATACTATATGAAGTCTTAAAAATTAAGAACACAGGGAGCCTGGAGGGGAGAGTGTAGTTGGCCAATAGAACAAGTCCTCATCCGGTGAGTCAGACTGACATTTAGTCACAAAATGAAACACATCCATGCTGACAAATGTGCACACACGAAAACTTGTTAACTGAGAATAACATCATCTGTTGAAATGAGGCGTTTCTTTTCTGTTTGTGCTTCACAAAACTTTCACCACTTATTAAAGATCCTTTTATCATTGGATTTACTTCTAACTGGGATTATGTTTCTTTCTGATGACCTCCAGACTCCAGAACCCAATAACGCCCTAAAGGTCTTGCCCACCACTGAAGGGGATGTAGGACCAGTGATGTCTCTATAGTCACATGGTGACACTTGCTCTGCATCCTCTCATCTCTACAGACATGTGGTGCATTATGGTTTGCTTTGTTGCGGCAGGCAACATGGTACAGCAAGCCCTTTCATGGAAAAGATATTACCAAGGCCTCCAAAAAGAAGAGTAAAACCTTATTTCCACACACTGATAATTATGATGTCTCTATTAAGCTCAGCCTTGAACTAAACTGTTACCAACAAGGCTCTTTTATTGTAATGAGAAGCACACATTCCTTGAAATGTGTGTGGTTCATCTTCCTAGATATTTTCCTTATTTATTTGGTTGCTTTTGACCTTTTATACATTTTAATCTAAACAGTAATGTTAATACAGCAAAACAAGCCAGCGCACACTAGAAAATGATGGAAAAATGAAAGCGAGAAAGGTGAGAAGAAAAGGGAGATGCATGGCTGATCAGAACAAAGATAAGAAAGGTTGGTTAAAGTGTTAAAAGTGGACACATGCCTTAGTTTTGGTCTACCTTCAGAAAGCGTCTCTGGAAGCTGTTGGACTGCTCTCCAGAGAGAAAGCCATGGTCATATCGGGGGAAGACCATCTGAGATGCAAGAGTTGCAGCAGGGAAAGACATCAGAAAAGGAAAGAGCATAAAGAGAAAAAGAGAAGGTTGGACATGGACCAAGGACAAAAGAGAGGGTGAAGAGAAAAGAGGTTAAAGAAATGAGAAATCCTTAGTTAACTGAGAGTGCAGATGAAAGTCCAACAAAGTAGGGAATAACTGCACTGGGAAAAACAGAGATGAGAGTTCAGCAGCCTCTGAAGCTGTAAGCCAAAAGAAAAAGCTCAATAAGAGTGTTTTGCTCCTGTATATGCAGCGATAGTGACAGAGCAGCAGTCTGACAGAGAGTGGTGACTGCTGGGAGGACTAGGGAACAGTTTGCTTGGAGGGACAAACCTTGACAGTGAGAATCTGATTACTGTGCAGACCTGCAAATGTGCTGTAGTTAGGAGGACCCTGAAGAGAGGAAGTGACAAAGGGAAAGGTGAACAACTTACTTTAGCATATATGTGGTTGAAATGGGCTCAGGATTTGTAAAGAACAAAAATACATCATCTGCAAATAGTGAGACATACGTTTCATTAAAAACCCAATAAGTGCCCCCTTTGCCATTTCAGAAATCCTGGATCTCTCACTCATGTATTAAATTGTGTGTGTGTGTGTGTTCCATTTAATGTCTTCCCATCCTTCCCTTTGCGACCAAACCAAACAGAGGTGGCTTGGCTCTTTCCAGCCCACAGACAGTAACTGTGATGATTTTCTGTCAAGCTGAAAGGAGCAGAGTTTGTCTGCCGCCAAAGAGCTCGGAGCACTGTGCTGCTTCTCTGGTTGAGTTCCTTCCAAAAACACATGGAAGGGAGGGAAGGATGGGGAGAAGATCTAAGAAAGGAGGGAGAAGGGGGATAGTAGGTAGAGAAAGAAGGAGAGATGCTAGCCTGCTCATGAGGTTTCCGTTAACAGGCTGCGGTGAGCGCTGGATAGCTGAGGTTTTTCCGACACCGCAGACCCCTCCTCCTCTTCTCTTTGCCCATACACTCCTCTCTCCCCACTGTCACATTCACTCATTCACACCATTTCCACCATGGAGACCACATACACATATGCTCCTTAAACTTAAACATAAGAGAATAGTGGGTTTCCCCTTTACCTCGTTCTCATCAGACCTTAGGCTGATACTATGACAAACAGCCATTCAACCTCCGAGCTCTGTCTAACCGTGGCCTTTTTGTAGCTGCTCTGGGGGAGGCAACAGAAGGCTGTGGCTGGGGATGAAAATCCTATCATGGGCTTGTCTTTCAACACAGCCGCCAAACGAACCTAAACATGCAGCGACAACATCCTCTGTATGGATTTGACAGTATGGAGGCTGGGAAAAATGGCTACCAGCTTTATGCCTTTCAATAAATGTTGCTGTGGAGAAAGATGCAACACTATGTGTGCCCTTTTGTCACGCATTTTTGGTGGTTCTATAGCATCTGATTGTGTTTTAATACCCCTGTTATCCTGTGTTTGTATTCTGTTCTGGGACCAGATTCAGGCTGACAAAGGCAACGAAACTGATGGATGGACAGGAAGTCACAGGTTGACAGAGATTCATGGCCACTTCCTGTTTTTACATGTATGCTCTTATCCTCTCGTAGAGTTCAGAGGTGACTCAGCGTACAATGTTGAGCTCAGGACAAGGTGATTATGTACTCTGCTGCACAACCTTTTATCTGCTCACCCTGCATGTAGAGCTTTGATTTGTAGCTGTTCGTATTTTCAACAATCGGAGACCAGCAGTTTTTCATTTGCTAACCTATCTATCCATATCTATGAAAATGTACCCCAATGCCAAACCTCATTCACAACTACAGTAGTTTTAGGAGCTGCAGGGTTTGTTTTGAACCAAGCCTGGGTCTCTAAGCGATACTCTGAGGTTTCTCGGCTGCACACTTATCCAAGGACATCCAAGCTCCTTGAGGTCTCGTCCAAGTGCAATATTTACCATTTGGAAGAACTATGTAATGCAGAATGCCAAAAAGATTTAATTCTTGCACAAACTAGTACCTCAAAATCTGAAGGGATAAGTTGGGAAATCAAATGGCGTACGCCTTGATAGGAATCAGGAATTCCTCTAATTCTGAGCCGCATCATAAATATTGTTCCGCTGGGCAGGCCTGTCAAATTTACACTCCATTTGTGCTGTGCTATAAAACAATAGCCATTCAGTCTCATTCCAATACTCTTACACACACTGTTCAGCCAGTATTGTCGGGCTCCAACTCTGAGAAGATTTATGACTAAACACATCTATTTATAATTATTATTCCAAACATTTCCTTTGTTGGTTACTTGCTAAAGAATGTAAGTAATAATTAAGACAAGCAGCAAGTGGCTACAAAAGGGGTTTAAGCGTTTTAAGAGGAACATTTGTATTTTTTATAAATATTTTATGTGTGAGTGTTTTGAAAGTTTAAGTAGCTCACAGAGCAATCGTCCTCATAAGATCGTTCTCTGCCAATATGGAAATTACTGGCTAACAGTTTTCGTCTAGTGTAGGTATAGTGCCATTATGTAAACAACAAATCAGTGAGTATAATTTATTTGTGTTGATGAAGAACTCCATTAGTTAAAAAAAATATTCTGTTGAGCTGGCTGCTGGCCATGTAAATTATCTGAATTTGCTGAATGCATCTGAAAGATATATCTAAATATCTGGTACAATTCCAGTACAATTCCATCATGAAACAAAAAACAAAACAAAAGAAAAAACAACAATAATTTGCCTAATTTGGACCAAGGCAATGAGATTTGTGGAATTCAAAAAGCATATACTTTAATTATCTTGTCCCCATGTGATTAATTGAAGCCATATGCCATTAAGTCCTTGTTGTTTACATGAATAATAAATTTACAATGTTTCATGTAGGGCTTCAGCTTAGAATAATTTTCTTTCTGATAATCCGATTGGTTGATTAATCTAATTTTTCAAAATGGTTTGGTCTATAAAATTCCAAAAGCTGCAATCTTTTGTCACATGTACTTTCAAAAATATGGTTGAAAAATTGTTGAATATTAATTAAAAGATAAATAAATTCTGTCAAATCAATTTATTAACTAATCATTTCAGTTCTATAGTATGTTTCTACAGTCTTCTACCATTTTAGGGGAAATAAAATAAACTTACAGACAAAAACATGAAAATAACAGGAGTTTAGATCTTTGGGTTTAAATCCCAAACAATGCACAAATTACCTCAGTAGGTCACCGTTTTGCATGTGAAGACATCTAACTGATAGTGATAATATATTCTAAACATAACACAACTAGAAAAACATTCAGGATTCATGGGGTACATGACTTCTTCAAAGAATCCAAACTGTTTACCATGTAAAGCACAGGGGGCTTATTTTCAAACCACAGTGAATAAAACGGGAGATAATTATATAGATCTCATGGTGGGTGGAATGATATCACATGAAAAGACAACACTGACAACATGGACCAGATGCAGAGCGAGGTTACTCCGTAAGATTAAAAAAACATAGTTTGTTTGAGAGTAGATGGCAGCTTTGGCACACTGCCCCAACCGTTGGGTTTTGATGGTGAGGTTTAAGTATTTCCATCGTTCTTTAATATCATCATTTCTCATCTCTGGCTTTGGAGATGTGGGCAACTGAAACCTCATCATACGAGCCGGACTATGTTGTTGGTGCAGTTGCTGGGGAAGCCGCGCAGGGTAAACACACTTTTCTTTTGAATTATGAAAAAATTTGCCTCGAGTGTTGAATGTTATAAGGATCGAATAAAGCTTGTGATCAGAAGTGTTTTCACATTTGCACATGCACACTGTTCCCCAACGAGATAACAAGGACATGATGAGTAGCTTTTAACATGTTATAATAACCCCCCCCCTCCCAAAAGAAATCCTCTATTTATGGACTTTGATTTCCAATTTGTGATGGTCTGTTACACTGTCTGGTCTGGGTTTGAATCTCAGCTGCATATGTTCCCTGTGTTTGTGAAGGTTTCCTCCTGCAGTCCTAAAACACTTTTCAATACAGATGCAATGATAAGTCAGTTGCACGTAGAGGTCAAACACTTTAGACAGAGCCAGGTTAACTAACTGCCCTTCTGGCTGAATGTTTATTGTACAGACATGAAAGTGGTGTCTGTCTTCTCATCTAAATCTGGACAAAAAAGTAAAAAAGTGTATTTTCAAAAATGTTTTCCTTAAAAGTATGCAGTTTGTCCTTCAGACAAAGTGGTGCATTATGTAACTGTTCATTACAGCTTTAATTCGATGTGACAGGACTCCTTTTGGAGGACCTGTTGTTTAACTTTCAGTTCTGTCAATAAAGGGAAAAAGAAAAAGAAGACAGAAAATTCACTTCTTAAAATGGCTGAATGGAAAGGGCAGTGTTTCTTGACCTTAAATGGAAGTGAAGATTAAAACAAACGAGATTGGCGAGAAAGACAAAACAAGAGAAAGAGGACAAAAACTGGAAGGAAGACTTAAACGGAGGCTCATTTTTAAAGAGAGGTGGAACAAAACACAATTAAAGGAAAGGTCTTTTCAGCCAGGTCAGCTGTAGCAAAGAAATAACTGTTAAAATACACACATAACATCTCGTTTCACCTTCTCAGGCAAAGACAGAAAACATGACTTACCCTTGGCCCGATGTCTCCTTGGTCACCCTGGGAGAAAAACAGGAAAATAACAATTGTCAGCAGTTATTAAAACTGTATATGCACACAGGATGAGGCATGCAACAGAACACTGCTACTGTAGAGCAGCAGTGAGAGACAGGCTTTAAAACTAATACTTGTGTATGTAAAGGAAGCATCTCAAAGGTCATCTGTCCCCGAACCAGCTCAGGATGTCGATATTTACTGAATATATCATTTGATAGGCCACAATTGGAATCATCTGACGGGGTGCGATGGGCTGGGTAAAAGTGGGAGCGCATATTCTGTGGATTGTTGGTTCTGTGATGAGGATTTGGAGTTCACGGAGCTACTAGCATGATTACATGAAGGGAGCCAATTTTCCAAACCTCTGCATCATCCGTCACTTGCAATCCCCGCTCATCAGACTGACTCCTTGCTCTGACAGATGCTGTTTACTGCAGTTGCGTTGTTCTTGTGGTTGCGCTTATCTGGACTATTTCCACTTGAGTGCAAAAAAAACGTACACATACAAAATTACCCATCGGTGCGTTCACATATGACCACATGCACAAGCCTCCTCTGCCAGCTCTTGCAGCTCTTGCAGCTCTATACGGTCACTAACATCTTAGGCTGGGCAGAGGTTCACAGAGCAGGAGAACATCTGGCTATCATCGAGCCCTGCGGAAGGCCTGTAAACCTGTTTAGTGCCTTGACGTGAGAATGTGCGGAGACATATGAGCTCCTACATAACTACATGTAATCTATGGCTCGTTTGATGGGCGTGCAGTGAAAACGTGAACGTGGGAGGGCGATGGAGAGAACACCTGTAAGGTTGTGTGTAAGTTAGTGTGCCTGTATTTGTGTCTTTCTGAAACCGTCTGCCTGTAAATGAATACGAGAAATAGATCCATACAGTGCATTGACTTGTCTAGAAGGGTTGTTGAAATCCATATTGAATTGCATACCTTTTCTCCCTTGGGTCCAGCTGGTCCCTGTAGGGGGGAGGAGATAATAGGAGACAGTTGGTCAAGATAAATCAGTTGTCATATGAGCAACATACATCATAGTACAATACATCTTCAAATGGCTTCTAGCGGGGAGCATTCAATCAAATGCTAAGGCAGGGCGGTAATACTACTTAATGCAGTGGTGCCACGGAGACTGCTCAATCACAAGTCACGTCTGAGAATATTTCACAATAAGAAGACCACATGACATGCAGCGAGAATCTCTTTTAAGATTTTCTCTTTGGGAGATAAAAACTGTTTTGCTGTGAGATAAAACTGAAAGGGGAAACTTGTTCCTTTGTTCCTCCACCAGTCTTTCTCTCAGAGGGGAAACTCTTAAGATGCTTTTGACGTGGAATGCTAGAAACACTAACTAAAAACACAGGCCTGTGCACTAATGTATAGTATGTGATACACTGACACACAGTCACATTGTGCGTTGGACAGTTTGATGTTATGAACACCAGGCCCACAGATGAGCTAATCCCTGCCCGTCAGGCTGTGCTGTGCCCTTGTCCATCTCTCTGTCTGTCTCAGTGGCACAAGGACCCCGAGTGTGGCGGCACCGCAAACCGCAGTCTGACTATGTGACTGTAACAGGCAGAGGGGGACTACATGGAGACCTGCCACTAACTGTCTCTGATCACAGCCACTGTTTCTCTAAACAGCTAGTAAGCAGATCTTACCTCTTACAGCCCAATCACCCTTTAATATAAACATTTTCATGTCTCTTCTCTCTACGGCCTGATCTTTTCACTCATCCCAAACTGCATTTCACACACTCCTCGCCCTCATTCGGCTTTTATTCAGTTCCCCTGTCTCTAAATCTGCCATGAGATCTGCCTTGAAGCTTCACTCTTTAATTTGTTCCCCCTTTTCCTCTTGTCTTCTCTGTCTGGCAGACATTTTCTCTGGACCGGAGCCCTAATTGTGTTCAGGAGTACGAGAGTGAAGGGGGGGTCTGGTGCAGAGCATGAGCAGTTTGTTAATGTGACTGGCCACATGATGACAGGCAGCAGCTTATCTCCGACACTGCTCTCTCCTTCTTCAGTTTAGGGAAAGGAGACACTGGAGGAGGAGGACGGTTTAATTTGACAACACAACAGATTACTTCTACTCCTGTAGGTGTGTAATCAGTGTATCAGTGGGGAGTTTTTGATAGATTTTAGATTCAGTTTAGCCTCTTGTTCCCTGTATAAACTCATGCAGTCTAGTCAAATACTGTTTAAACTTATCTAACTTTATTTTTAGCTTTAGTCGCAATTTCAAAGCTTCTAAAGTGACAAAAATGGCGAAAACGTCACATAGAATGTGTATAAAATGATGCAGTTTTGAAAATATTTACATTTGATTCGGATGCAGTCTTAAAAACATAGAGTTGTTGTGTTTAGATATTTATCTCACTATAAACACCAGATTCAGTGAATAGATGGAACAAGCTGATAGAAGACTATAAATATGATACTATCAGAGGAAGTAAGATCCTTAAAGTACTTAAAGGTCCAGGTGTAACATTTAGGAGGATCTACTGGCAGAAATGGAATAAAATATTTATACGCATGTTTGTCATTAGTGTATAATCAACTGAAGTGTATTGTCGTGTTTTTGTTACTTCAGAATCTAACATTTTTTATTTACAGACACTGCAGGTCGTCTTCAGTGAGGCCAGTAAATCCTACACAATGGTCCTTTAAAGGGGAAACTGAAAAAAATTGGCTGTTAAGGAGCTTTAGTTAGACTATATATATTTTATATTCAATGTTCAGTTTTAGATTTTTATTTCATACTTTTACCCTAGTTTTAATAAGTAGTGTAGTGTTTTTGGCAGGAATGATATTTTTTTAAATATGAAGTAATAAAAGTATACATATTGTCTATGTTTGCAGTAGGTATTGGAAAAAAATTAGATTTTACATCAATATTTAACTATTTACATTTTTACACAAAAACCACAGCGTGTATTAGTTATGTCATTTTAAAAATGAGCAAGAAGTTTGTGTGAAGACTTGGAAATAGCAGTTTGACAAAAAAAGATAGATTTCCATCCACTGTGAAAACCACAAAGTGTGTTTGAAAGCTTCAGTTTCTTTATCAAGAGGTTTCTCTTTATTATGGTTAACAAATCATTATAAATTTGTGCTTATCTTTTAGTTTAGTTTACTTTATGGTAATGTCCTTGAACTTACTTGTGATAGCTCTCTCTCTGCATTACAACTCCCCCTGGCCATCATCTATCAACACATTAATCTTGGTTTACCGCTTTTATCCGTCTCCTGTTTTCACCCCCCCTCTCCATATCGACTCTAAGGTCTGTGTCACACCTGCCAGGGTTTTATGGCAGACCCTCGGTGATGGGGAGAGTCCTCTTAAAGGACAGACCCAGCTTGAGGTCTCCTCTTGCAGGAAAAAACAGCTTAATGGTGTTTGGAGAGGAACTTTTCAAACAGCTCTCATTATGCTGTGAGGGGTTTACTTTTCAGCAGATGACTCGTCCCTCTCATGGGCAAAGTGACCAAAGAGAAGGGGGGGTTAGAGGGTACAATAATTACTTTTTAAAGAGCCTCTGTAGAGGTTATAAACTCTATTCTCTCTCTCACTTTTCTCACTGGTGTGTAACCCATTCGCTCTGCCTTGCCTGTTTCCACGCTACACCTGGGTGTGTCTGCGAGTGCAGCGGGGTTTCAGGGGAAGGGTGATGGATGGGACTCAAGAGGTGAAGTGCAAAGGGGATTTCAGCACTCGGTTTAGTTGAGCCATGACTCCCCTGTGGCTTTGAGCCCTGGGCTGACTTAAGAGGTGGAACACGAAACAAGATGGCTACCATAGGGTTTTTACTCACTTGCGACATTCCCTCAGGAACAGTAAAAATGATTGATGATGTTTAGCAAACCATCACCTGTCTCATAGGCCAAATACCCGCCTGGATTCACAGTTAGAAAATCTTTGAGTTTGAATTGCTTTAGTGTAGAAAAACAAAATATCAAACCAAAACAAGACAGCAGGTATGTGATGGTGTACCTGACTTCCCTTGAGACCTGGTAAACCCTGAGAGGAGAAAAACAGTTAAAATCAAACTACTGTCAGTCACTCAAAGCATGTTTTACACATTTGATTATGTGAATACTCACTGGTTTCCCATCCAAGCCAAGTGGACCCTGTTGGAAGACAGATAAAGATAAATTATAAAAAAGGCAAAAGTCTTGGGACCCATGTTGACACAAAACCTTTAAATGAATCGCTTGCCATTTTGGGAAGTATGCTTATTCACATTCTTGCCAAGAGATAGATGAGGAGAGATACCATTCTCATGTCTGTACGTTGAGCACAAGGCTAGACCCATGAAATGGTTATATAATCAGTGTGACAGGAAAAGGTATAGTCCATAACCCACCCAATACCGACCAAACCATAACCCACAGAAAATTTTTGTATTTACAGTTTTTATACAGATTAAACAAAAAAGATGTGTTTATTAGTAAACTTTAGAGGCAGTGGTGTTCTACTAACTTTGTATTAAGCCTACAGACATGAAAGTGGTGTCAATCTTCTCTCTCTCAAGCAAGAAAGCAAATAAGTGTATTTCCAAAAAAAATGTGCCTTTCATAACTGAGTTTAAAAACACAAGTCTGCTGTGAATGAAAACATGATTGTGAATACAATATTTGTTTTATATCCACCAGCAAAACTATCTCCCGCCTTTAATATATCATAAGCCAACTGTTATTTATTAGTATTTCATAATATTTGCACCTTGTCTCCGTATCACTCAGCAAACAATGTAAATGATCTTAGCTTAGGGAAAAACAGTCAAGTGGATTTGGCAAGACAAACAGATAAAGGGTGGAAAGTAAAAAGTGAGTAAATGAGAGAAACAGCTGCACTTATTGGAACTCAGAAAGGAGGAAAAAGATGAAAGAGCTTTTTTAACTTTTTATACAAATGTTCAATGTATATCCTGCCCCCATGTAACTGTGCGTGTGTGTTTGTGTGCACACATAAGACTCAGATATTAAGACGTTTCCAGGTGGTGCTGGTTTGTAATTATTCTACGATTTAGTGTGTGGTGTCCAACATGATAGACTGTGAGTGGATTTGGTCCAGCTGGATTAATCTTCCACACAACATCTACTATGTCTCTCTGTGTTTGCGGTGATGAGATAATCCAACGGGCAGTTAAGTATGTTTAAAGTCTGTATCCAACTTCACCCAAGTGCTGAAACAGCAGTTGAAGTTGTCCACTTTGTTTATCTCAATAAAAACAGCCGAGCAGTCATTGAAGCTCCTCTGCAAAGCGCTCAGTTCAAAGGCACAAATCTTTAGATCCTTACTTAAACAAAAAGGAACAGTTGGCTCTTGGATCAAACTTTCCAAAAACACTTAAATGTGATGTATGTGGTAAAGGCTAATGTTGACTTCCTCCTCCTTAACGACCATACTCGATGTTAAGCTAACAGTTTTTACAGGGTCCCTTGAGTCGTGGGTTGCTCAACCCATCACAGTCCTGGTGGCTCTGCAGACTGAACCATTATTAACAATGGTCCTCTCTGGCCTTGGAGGGCTTACATACGTTGGGCTTTTCTCTTCATCTCCCTGCTTTACCAGCCCCGTGGGTGCTATCCAGCCTGAGGTCCTGTAGTGAAAACCTACCACAGTGTCATCGCTGCCTGCTTTGATGAATGGACAGTAGGCACATAAAGGACAGAGAGGAGAAGAGATGCAGGACGGAGGGAATGATGCTTTAGAGCTGCTCTTATTAATAGTTTATGTGATCATTTGCTGCCTCTTTTTAGCCTTGTAATGGGACGGCATGGCTATAAACTCGCTTAAAAAAACACAAGTGGTTAGTCTGTATAAAAGAGATTCATAAAAAGTCCAGCAAAAAGCCTTTGAGGCTATTTCTGATTAAGGGCTCCATGTGAAATCCACAGTAGGTGGCGGAGACATGGGGTGGAACAAATGACTGGGACCAATCGGATGGCAATAATTCTACTAAGACTGTCTAAAGTTGAGTGTGAAGACTAAGGATGTAATGCATTTCCTTTACTGGATGCTACATACAGAACAGGACAGGTTGTATTTTCACCACTCTATTAAACGCAGCATGCTGTCTTTATCATGTCCTGCATTCAAGTGTGAGCCCATAAATGTCCCAGTGAGTTTGCCCGCGTATCTGTGTCCACGTCTCTGGATATGCGTTGGTAGACATGTGTGCCTGTGTGTGTATATGCAGTCATATCTCTGCATCTGGCAGCATTTATCAGGGCCCGGCTGCTTCAAGACTTGTCAGGATGAGTAGAAGAGGTGTACATGGTGAGGTCATCGGCTGCTGAGAAGTCTGAACCGGAGCAAAAACAGACTGATTTATGGCTGCTAACAAGCCACACAGTGGCCTGTGAACTGTCGGTACTATTGGTCTGTGTGTGTGTGTGTGTGTGTGTGTGCGTGAGAGAGGGGATTTATTCTCAGCAATAAAAGCCTAATATTTGGCAGCTGACAGTTTGCATACACCAGTATAGTAATTACTGTAATCTCTATGCCTTCTATACTTACTTAACTGCTATACAACATGGAATAAAATAAGACCCAGAACTACTACAGCTACCTGGAGGAATAATTCAACCAACAATATAGCAGTTCAAGAAGCTCTTCTATGACTGATAAGATAGGATATGTATAATATATGAGCCTTACTTAAATCAGCAACAGAGGCTCCAGGGAACTTTTAATGGCAACCAAGGGCAAAATGGGCCAGAAGGGTTTATATGAATAAGAGTCAGAAACACGGGACCGGGGGAAATTGGATTTTGATGTGTGGCCCTTTATATATTGTGTGCTTTTCTTTCTGTATAGCTGCATTGTTGTACTATACCTCCAGTGGGGTAAACCTGTAGTACACATCAGTTAGCAAGGTGGGAAAAAAGAGCTGGAATTCAAATAAAAATAGAACAGGGTGAACAAAAAAAGGCCACTACTAAAATCTCCTCATCTCATACCGCAAATGGATCAGGCAGGCCGCAGAATAAAAAGGAAAAGGAAAAACGAAGGGTAGAAGGAGGGGAAAAAAAAAACCCGGGAGATGAATGTTGAGAAAAAGTGAGAAAATAGGCCTGAAATTACCACTAAAACCTCAAGTGAATGTGGGGGACAATGAAATAATGCCTTTTTATGTGTGTGGTTCTTTGTGTGTATTCCTAGTCTACATCGCCATCTTGTCCTGCAGCGTCCCTCAGCTGATAAAAAAAAAAGTTTAGACTCAGCATTCCCACCAATTAGATGGCTTTTAAACACATTTCTGGAAAATAACTTGGCCTGCAGGAGGGTATATTTTGTGTCTGTGCCTGTGTGCATGTGTGTTTTTGTCTTAATCCCAATGAAACAGGGGCGAGGGGTGTCTTTGCTGTCTTTATTGTACTCCCTATGGTGCAGACTGGTAATTATCCAGTAGGGAGTAATTGTTGAGGATGCGGCGTGAAAAGTTGGTGTCTGCACATCAGAGCAGACGTCTCAGCAGCAAACACACATACAGAGTTAGAGACCCTTTTCCTCCCTCCTGGTTCTACTTTCCTCACTTCTCTTGTATCCTTTGATGTCATTATCTTTTCCTCTCTCGCAGTGATCCACCAACCCTCTGTTGAATATCTCTCAGTCCCTCCTCCTCCTCCAGTTGCTTTCATGTTGCCACAGGGACAAAACTCCACTCCATGTCGGAGGCTACATGAACATAATTTGTGATACATGACATTTGCTTCTTTAAAAAAAATATAAAAAATAGTGGCTGCATCCAGAACCCAAGAGCACAATAAAGCATACCAGAGAGCTGTGTTTGGGACAGAAAATTACTGACATGTTGTTGGGTGACTGTCTGGCTTTAATCTGCACTCAGAGGCCTGGAAGGCTGAACAATGGAGGCCTTGGCTTCTCTATGCTGAGCGAGGTTCGCTGTCTGTCACAGACTGGCACTTTTGTATAAACACGCATGTGGCTGGACACGCTGGTGACTGCGCATATGAATAATCAACTGGTGTGTGTGAGTGAGTGTTTACCCCTCCGCACTGATCTGTCAGTCTGTCTGATTTTGACTGTTTTGACAGCGGGAAGGCCCTTTACTGAAACTCAAACCCTTCGCCTGTGATTTATGAGAGGAAGAAGTGACAGGGGTTATATGAGGAGAGAAAACATACATCAGCACTCACAAAGACACACACACACACACACACACACTTATCATAGAGTTATTCTTGAGAAACACACAAAGTGTTTGTCATTAACAGTGTTTATCATATTAGAAATGCTTCAGTGGAATTGGACTGCTGCATGCATTAGTCTGATAAATGACTGTGAGACATGTGTATGCCACCTGAAAGAAGTATAGCACATGCACGCTCACACACTGGCAAACACCACAATTGTTCAGAAGTAGACGAAGCGATCAGATCAAAAAGTAAAAGTTAGCATCAAAATGTACTTCCCAAGGTAGAAGTACTCATCATGCAGAATGCCCCTTTCAGAATAATGTGTACTATATTATTGGATTATAATTATTGATGTGTGTTCGTCACTTTAATGATGCAGGTGTTGGTGGAGCTGATTTTAACTATTTTATATGTTGCTGAGAGATTGTGGATCACTTATCTTATGCAAAGTAACTAAAGTTATTTAATAACTTTATTTATTTTCCTGAAATGTATTAATAATTAGTTACACTAGTTACTGGAGAAAGTAATATTATAACTGTATTATTATTGCTAGTAATATGTTACTGCCTGAGACACTGCAGAGGATAAGGTACAGTATTTGCCTTTGAACTGTAGTGGAGTAGAAAGATAAAGCAGCAGTAACAAGCACCACAAAATTGTTCTCAAATTCAGCACTTGAGTAAATATACTTAGTTTCCACCTTCGAGATTGTTATGTTAATTCTGTTAAATTATGTGTTAATGTGTACACTCACAGAATTAAAGACTGTAGCCTGCTGAGGGTTAACGGCTTGAATGGAGACATAATAAGGGTGAGAGAGGGCAAGAGAAAAAAAAAGTGCTTGAACGCAATCTAGCTGTTTGTTTTAACAATGGAAAAATAAAGAAAGAAAATTTGTTGGCACAAGTCACTGGCACCACACAAGTTCTCCGGAAACTGACTTGACTCATTTGTGTTGCTATCTCCATATGAGCAGTCCATGTGAGACACTTTGTTGGTGTGAAAAGGTATCATACACACATACGCACACGCACAGAGCCTCTGACCACTTCCACAGTTCTGGCCTTTGTTTCAGAGATCTACATAAACTAGGTGGTTGGATGGAGTTCACACACATCCGCACATATGGACACAGATACACAAACACTCCTACCCAACAGGAAGAATGGCCCTTTATAAGCTTCAATGTTTGAAACTTGATCATCTCTGTTGCTGCTACATGAAATAATGTGCTGTCCGTGTTAGTTGCCAGTATGATTAATCTACTGTTATTTCACTGTAACCTCATACACACAGCTTCCATCATCATACCTGCACGTATGCATCATAACAGGAAGCTGCCTCTTACACTTAGCAAACATACTTATCCAGTTATAATATTGTTTCATCTATGTAATTATAGAGGTTTAAGGATTAATTTCATTATGCTAACAAGACTGGGAAGGATTACCCAGATTAAGCATCCTTAAAGTAATACATTACATCATTTAATTAAGCAGATATTTTAAAAAGGTAAAAACACTACAATGTGCCACAACTTTAGGATTTCTAATAAAGACAGTGACATAGATGAATAGAGTCACAAGCAAACAAACACAAATGTGCACACACTTCTCTGTGCGCTCGGTCCACCTGTGTGTAATTAGCAGCAGGCATTTCCCGTCAGGAGGGCTGTGCAGTGCCAGGCAGACTGGGAATCTGACTGAGAGCGAGCCCCATGGGTAATGAACTTCCCCCAAAAAAAACTTCCCAATGAGACAACGTACACAGCAACACAACGGTCAAGACGCCGTGGAACACAACACCGGGGCGACTGTCGTGGGTCGCTGTGGCAACCAGACGTAGGGGGTCACACAGAGCATGTAACACGCTCACACATAGGCCCTCACACATGCTAATGCTTCCTATGAACTGCACGCCATCCAGTTCTTATGAATCCATCTGGTCACACAAGCTGAGCTCTTGAATGATGAGGGTGTGTGTCTGTATTAGATGATGAGAATTTGACGATGGCCAAACCCCAAATCAGCAGGAGAGCCATGAGCTGTTTTTATCTCAGCAATTGTGGAGAAAGTCGGTAGTCTGACCGGCCACAAGAGGCCACTATATCTCTGGATAACACCAGAACTGGCTTTCAGTCTTGTGGTATGCCTCATGGGGGAAATCAGTAATCTGCTTTGCATTCAGAAGTTCTAGATGTACACACATTAGATTATTCAAACATTAGTAAACCCTGTGATTTGTGCCTTGTGTAAGAATGTTTCATGTTTTCATTGGTATGGTTTACACTCTTGTGGTTTATGTTTACTGATGATAATCTTTACGTTTACTGCTGTCATTTTCACACATGCACTAAATATTCTTTATGTCACTATTTTCTGCCTTCAGTCAGTGAGTTGTAATGTTTCAAATTACCTATGGGAAATAGTGCTTGTGTTTAAATACAACTGTCTTTGTATTTGAGTCAGTTCTCAGTCACGGGGCAGGATACTTTACTGGTGATGAGCAAATGCAAAAGGTTGCATGAAGAGGTGACAATTAGAGTAAATGTAATTTCTTCACAGGCAAAAGAGAAGGAAAAACAGAAAAACGTCCTATTAAAGCTGAAAAAAATCAAGAGAAAAAGGAGATATGATTGGGTGAATTGAAGAGTGACAGGAAAAATAACAAATCAAATTTACCGGGTATCCATCCCGTCCAGATTTGCCCTGGTGAGGTTAGAGATTAAATCATGAAGCATTGAGACAGGTTAGAACAGAAACCAGCAGCTGCACACAACACAACATACACGCTGTATATATACATATATATTAATTCGTCACATGACCCGGCCGGCACACTTTATTCTAAAGGAGACAAGTATTAAATGATACACAGGATCAGTTTTTGCTGGTTTGTATGAAGAGTAAATGACTCTATATGGAGTTTGAAGCTGGAAATAACAAACATTAGGTAAAGTTTGTTTACACCACAACTTCTGTTTTGTTGCAGTTTAAACATTTTTGGCCTGTATCTGATCTTTTGGGCACTTGATTACGTTGCCGTGTACACTGACTGTAACGACAGACTTAGTGCAGTAGCAGGTGACTTCACATTACCACACCTTGTCTTTGACTTTATGGGCTTGAGGCCAGACTTTGTGTGTGTCCAGGAAAACAAATTATACATCGTTTCATGCACACTTGCCGTAAACCTTCTGCACAGGCAGTTTTTCTCCATAAAAACATTCCATGGATTTAAAAAATGTCAGCCGTACACGCTGTTCCGGTCCGATATTTCCGGAAAAGTGTCATGGTGTGCTTTGGAGCATTTACCCCTCTGCATATCTGATCTGTGCCACATGTGACCAAAATATTAAAATAAATACTTTTAAAATAAAATCAGAATGCCACTCTCAAACAAATCTAAACAGGGAGAAGCAGTCTCCACGTAGTAGATGGCTTTTTGTATGTGTGTGTTTTATCTGCTGTGTGTGTGTGTGTGTGTGTGTGTGTGTGCGCCTGTGTCAGCAGGAGTTATAGTCCCACAGAGGAAGATAACACGCTGCTAATAAGTCACCATGAAACACACACAGATACAAGCACACACACTCACATGCACACACCCACAGTTCCCTAGGTGGTCCGTTTATTGCCGCGCTCTGTGGATGCACATGTGTGAGTGAGCCTGTGACAGTTTGTGTGTCTCTCTGTTTTACTACTGTGGGAGAAAACCATAGTTTGTATAGTGAAGGATAATATATGTATGTATGTGAGTGCTTTTGCATGTTTAATGGGAAAGGGAAGCACTGTAACAACTGGATGTTCAGTAGGTTATTAGTGGATTTTAATACTACCTGAATGAGAGGAAATTGTACTTACTGGAGGTCCTGCAACAGAAAAAGAGAAATCAGACATTAGAAAAGGAATGTCCAGTAACACATGAAGCACAGCACGTGTGAGTTATAGTAACCTCTGGTTTGTGCAGCAATCAATTCCTCAGAACAGTGGTGCATAACAAAAAAACTGCACATGCAATGCGGTTTGTTAGATGATGATTGTAATTAACCACCTAAATATGGTACAGAAAAAGCTCATTACAGCCACTGCCAGTGGAGTTTGTGGTGAACCCCTTATGATAAACAGACTTCTGGATAATGGGTCATGTTTCGCATTAGTATATGAAGTCATGTCAAGGCGTTGTTTCCTAAGAAGATATGGGGTGTATGAGATGGAGGACAAACAGGCAGTGAAAAGGTCGGGCTGTGCTGGCAAAATGTGTATATAGTATATATAAAAAAAAAAAGATGTCTCTGAGATTTCTCCGGGGCAGTCTTTCAGATCTGATTGAAAAGCTCTGATGTTGAGCCTCAGCAGCAAAAAGTAAACTCAGCTTTTCATACTTAGACTAACCAAAAACAACAGTAATGATCAAAGGGCTTGGTTTTAATGGAATATTCTTATAAAAAAAAACTTCTCTTAAAAGTCCAAGGCCGAGGGCACTAATAAACCACCCAAACCCCTACAAAGTGAATATATCATTTTGCCATTAAAAAGCTTTTATATTAGTGATTGGTTTAAATTTATCTGATCTAAATTTAAAATCAATCACAAAGCTCTATGTGATTGTTAACCAAATTACAGTCTATGGTATGATTTGGAGGTACGCTACCACTGCAGTTCTGTTACAAGACAGCTCATCAGCATGGATGCAACACTAAACATCTACATAAACTCAAGATTGAAAACAGACTCCCTCTGGGGAAAAGTGGGTTATTTGTGGTGTTTTGTTACTATTTAAACATACAAAAAGTCCTAACATGACCAGAATCTATGCAAGCCTAGATGTTTGCTGTTAATTCGAGGGAAAGGGCATTTTTGGGACAAGAGCTGTAGAAAGGGATGAAGAACTGAAGGTAGCTGGGGTGACAAGGTGTAAGGGAAAGAAGAACAGAGAGGTGTTGGGGTTTATGAGGCATGAAGACCTAGTCAATCATGTTTAGCTGTGTCTAGACGCCAGGACAAGGACCCTTCTGGGCCAGACAGTTGGGTAAACAAATGCACACTGGCTACAGAGTAAGGCCAGCTTTAACCATTGAACTTGTGACAGGTGTGTGTGAGTGTGGAGACTAATGAGAAAGAAAGAGATAGAGAAGGAGAGAGAAAGAAGTAAACAGAGCGGAGAGAGGCAAAATAGTAAAAGACCAAACAGAAGAATAATAATGAGAGTTGAGGCAGGAGACAAGGCGACAGAAGCTCAACAACTCTGTCTGCCCTCTTTCCTGTTATTCAGGTTTGTGTTTCTGTTTCTTCCCTCCACTCTCATTTGTTTCTCTGATGGAAAAGGGGAAAACCTCTTCTGGTCTTGTAAAAAAAAAAAAAAAGCCATCCTCAACAGAAGGATGGCGCAACAGCCTCTCTGTGCCACCTACCCCCGCAGGCTGCAATGTGAATACGCAAAACTAAACAAGACAACGTAAACAGGATCACATCATCCTTTTCAGATAGAGACCACGAAGAGCCAATGAATGTCCCATCTTGGGCGTAACCTTAACAGCGAGCATTAACGTTATGATAATCCTCTAAAAGACCAAGTGGCTGGAAATTCGTACCACGCTGATGAAAAACACAGTTGTTTACTCACCTGATCGCAGAACTCAGAGGGATTTTCGTAATCTATGCCGATTGAGAAGTAGTTGAACGGTAGGGAGGATATGGGGATTTAAAGGAAAAGTCTGGAGATATTCTATATTTTTCTTATTGTCAACAATTTCCATGAAAAGACCAAAAGCCAGCCACCATTGTTGTCCAAAAATGATTAAAAACACATCAGTGAGCCACATCGTTGCCCTGTGTCCATCCCACATACACCGTCATGCTGCCATAAATAATCACAACCAATAATCAAACTCTGCAAATACAATTTTAACTCCCTGTTTTAGTAATCCTTGCTAAAAACGACAGCATTATAGGAAATGACTGAGCCTTTTTGAAAATAGAACTATATATTTGAGACCTGTATTTAAAGATTTTCATCTTCAGAGGGAATCAATGGGCTTAGAGCTGAGAGCCACAAACAGGCTGGGGAAGTCTGAAGGTTTTAAGAGACTGACTTACATATTGTTGGTTTACATCTGACAATAAGACATATATAATTTTTTTAGACTTATTATTGAACAGAAAACTAAAGTGGGATTAAAAAATAAAGGCACTTTGGCTTACAGCATATGAAACTTTACATCTGCCTATATGTGATATTCTATGTCAAATAAATCAAGACAAGCTAAAAATACATCATACTGTATACATTATAAACAACAAGTGCGGAAATTACAGCAATAAAGGTTACTGGTGATTAGTCATCATCTTCACAGGAAAAGATCTCATCTACTAAATCCACAACAATGAATCACAACCAGTTTAGAAGTTTTCCCATCTGACACATATCCTGCAGAACAACTACAGTCCTGCAGGTTTTGATAAAACCGTCTAACACTGTCGGGCCACAATTTGGTGGAGTCAACACTTAATAAAAACCATCCAAAATGAAAGTGACTCAAACTTGTAGAACATCCGCTCTATCTGTCATGATGACCTTTTGTGTAACAAGACTTATGTCCCTGCACTGTTTTGGTCTCCATGATGACTGTTTTGCGGTGTGCACAGGAAAAAAAAACCAACACAATAATGGTGGGTAGTGATGTTGGCAAGGGAGAGTCTCATTAGGCCCATACTACTGCAGCTGCTACCGCTCAGCAAGAGCGACTGACATCTGGGCAAAGTTAGAACAACCACATACGGCCAAGGTTAGCGCTGTGTCGGCGCAAATAGCAATGGACAGGGAGAAGGGCCAACTGCGGCCCATCATCCACCGGCCTGACTCATGGGTCACTGCTTTTACCAGCCCTCGAATGTATCCAGTCACCCAGGAAAAGAGAGAGAGCGTGGGAGCAAGTAAGAGAGAGAGAGGAAGGAGATGAAGAAATAGTGTGTCTTCCAGGAAAAGAGAGAAAGGAGAAATAAACAAACAAAGCAGGTGGTGGGCTGTCACTTACCAGGTTCCCCTCTTCTTCCCATCCTTCCACGCTTCCCCGGAGGCCCTGTGAAAACACACAGGCAGAGCAGTAAATCCTCCAAATCAGCGCTGCAGGGACGAGTACAGAACAACCGTGCATCACTTGCTGTTTAACTGCTGGTGCACATGTGTTGTGCCTGGCATTAAGTTTGTGTGAGCTGGCACAGATACACTAAAATGTACGTGCATAAGTGACGTAAGGACAGATACAGACACTAGAAGACAAAACAAAGTGAGAGCAAACACCCTGTTAGCACTCAGACTCAAACATACTGTATGATTATTATATTAATTAATATTATTCCAGACTGAACAAACTGGACCCTTCAGCCATGTTTAAGACTTATTCTCCCCTCATTCTGGCTGAATACGACCTATTCCTCATTTCCTGGGCTTCGTCCAGCCACCTTCCTCTGACCCTGCAGTGATGCAGCTGGTACCACCACCTTTCCGGTAAAACGATTTCGGCTGTTGATGGAGAAGTCTGGTAAAGTTGTGAAAAATAGCAGGAGGGCTGTAGAGAAACGAGGAGGTGATGTGGCCAGAGAGAGGGCCGACCCAGAGAGTCAGACCTCATGCTGCTAGTAGACCATGAATCATTTCTACACTGCCGCTGATTTGCGTCAGTGTCTGCCTGGTAATTTAACAGAGGTGTTGTTTTAAGAGATGGTGCAACTGACTATACAAAAAAATAATAATCACAGGTTCAGAAAAGATCGCCCACCCCTTCTCTTTAGCTTAGCAAATGTAGCAAGGCACAGCAGGTCTGTCAAGCTTTGGATTTCTCCACATATTGAAGCTGTAAGAGTTATAATCTGACTTGTGTTGTTCAACTGTTAGAAAAACCCCTCTTGAGGACTGGGACACCCATCGTGTGGTATTTATATACCGCAAAGGAGCTGGTCCTGGATGCTCGAAGTTTACATATTTGGTGTATTTGTCCGACACAAAAGCAACAACAATAAAGCATAAATCTATAGCAATTATAACCTTTGTGTTGTTTGTCCAAGTATGGTAACAGTTATTTAATTCTCACATAACTCTTAAAAAGATCTTAAATTGTCCTTATCATCCACCAGTATAAGAATTGTTCTGATTCTTTATTTCTATGTCCTCTACATGGATCCTCAGCTCAGGATGTTGACTCAGACTTTTAACATGATATGATAAATGTAGCCACATATTCAAAACCACTTGCAAAATCTAGTTGAGAAGCTTGCATTTGTCTGTGTGAAATCAAAGACCCATTGTTTCACAAATTACGTCGGACCTTTAAAAGGTAAATCTGCCATCATTAACTTTGTGAACTACATATGTCCGATGTGAGGCAAAAAAGCTCGACAGCAGTAACAACAGTACCTTTAGCGTGTTTCTCTGTGGCACAAAACCTTCCTGTTGGTAACACCTTACTTCTCTCCATGTGCCCATCCTCCCACACTCAGTCCTGCTCTCGTAATGAAATAGAAACCATACTGTGTGCTGTTCCTGATGCTAAGTGGTTGTGGCTGCAGACATGTTTTCCCTATTGTCATTATTGGGGTTATTGTAGTGGCCTAATCACTTCCTGACTCTGCCAACCCTTTCAAAGAGAGCTCAATCATGCTCCTCCACCTCCTTCTCGTGTCTACCTCTCCCACTTTCATCTTCTTTACATAACAGCAATACGCTATTAATTACTTTGGAAATGAAGGATTTGAGAAATAGCATAAAAAGAGTTAACTGTTGCCTGTGCTCAGGTTGAAGAATGGCCAAGTCTTAAGTATTAAAAGTAGAATTTAACGGTTTCTAGTTCTTTATCTGATTCAGTTTGCCATTTGTAGTTGCCGTCAGACTCTGTTGGCAATGAGAATGAACCATTTAAATGTAACAATGGAGAATGAGTGCAGCTGTGTGCACCTACTGACGCTCATTTAAAATGTATGTTTGAACAATTTTAATCATTTAACACCTCTACACCTTCAAAATCTCGGACACAGATGCCAGCTAACTCAATCTGCCAGCCGCAGCATTTATATTAATAGTCTCCATATTCCATAGTAGGCTCTACTTCCCCTGCCCTCAGCCCCCGCTGCCATAAACAGCGTGGAGCCGTTCTGCTGGGGGCCGAGGCCTCTGCAGGGCTGGAGCATTTCCCTGGGCCAAGAGGGGAGGAGATGGGGAGGACAAACTGAGAGAGGAATGTGTAAGGGAGTGGCGGGATGCGAAGATGAAATGGGAGAGACAGAGAAGAAGATATACCGCAGTTCAAAATGACAGGAGGGTACAGGAGGAAAGATGGCAGAGACAAATGAAGTCAGTAGTTGATAGATGGATGGTTTCACAATCTTGTTAAACTCCTTGTACAACATGGTCATTGGCCATTTACAGTGCCTCCACAAGCAGGGATATGCATTATAAGATATGGGTCACGAGGGGCCATGCCTGCTCTACCTTTATTTGAGACATGAAAGGCAGCCGTCGGCATGCTGACAGGTCGGTCGCCAAACGCTGGAGGAGCGGACGTCACAGTGACTGAAACGTGGGAGTATGATTGGTCCTGAGTGGCAGAGTTGAGGGGGAGTAGAGGTGGGTGATGACAAGCTGATATAGGAGTGTATTGACTGGAGGATTTAATGGGAAAAACAGCAGCAGAGGACAGCAGAGTGTGTGTGTATGTGTACATGAAGTATGGAAATAGTTCAGATTCCTATATCAGGAGAGAGCAGTGAACACATGAAATATAGACACACAAACAGACGTAAACACTTCCACGTGGGAAGGTTGCATATAGGGTCAGAAAATGTCACACAAGTGCACCAAAATAGAAACAGCGTGTAAGTTAAGCGTTAAGTTTTACTCAATGTGTGCGCCAACTGGGCTGTATCATAATTTGATTTATCTTTTCTTTCCCTTCTTTCTCTGTTGAGGTCAAAGGTTATCAACATCAAAAGAAAGTTACACAGCTAAAAGACGCAACAAGCTCAATTTTTCAGAGTGGTCGGTTGCTTCATACAATGTAAACCAGATGGGAGGATGCCAAGAGGGGAGCAGACAGAGGAGAAAAAAAGACACTGTGAAGATGGGAGGACAAGCGTTGAATGAGGAGGTTGTCCTTCACTGTTACAGGTGTTGAAAAAACCCCAAAAGAAAGAAATATGGACCTCCACAAATGTCATACTGTTAGCAAAACTACATCCTGTGCATGAATCTCACTGAGGGACACACAGACAGCACTGGACACATGCAGGTTCACTGGAAACAGCATGGTAATACACACACACACACACA